TGACCTCTTTCAGCAGGATAATGTGCCCTAGCACACTAAAAAAAAATGGTTCAAGAATGATTTGAACAACACGAGTTTTAGGTGCTGACTTGGCCTCCAAATTCTCCAGATCATATTCAATCGAGCATCTGTGGGATGTGCTGGAAAAACAAGTGCAATCAATGAAGGCCCCACATCACAACTTACAGGATCTGCTATTGGCAGCTTGGACTCCACTAGAACAGTAGAAAGGTATCATGTAAAACAACTTGTCTCACCACTGAGGTTAATAACAGAGGTTTGGATACACGTCTTCTGCAGAAAATGTGAAAGCCGCACAGCCGCGCCAAGGCACATTTTCCACAGAAGACGTGTATCCAAACCTCTGTTATTAACCTTAGTGGTGAGACAAGTTGTTTTACATGCTGCTTTGTGAGTGTGCCATGATACCTTTCTACTGTTTTACTGTTCAAAGCCCATTTCGTGTGCACCTTACTGTATAACTGGTGACAAATTGTTGAGTGCGTTTGTCATTTGTTTTGCTTGGACTCCACTAGACCTCTGAAGGTATGCTGTGGTATCTAGCACCATATCAGGGCTTGGCAGCAAAAGAGGGACCTACTCGGCTGATAAGCGTGCGCAGGCCTAAAAATTTCCACTCGCCCCTCGCAATTGGCGAGTGAAAATTGCGGGGGGGGGCGAGTGGAATGTCAGCAATGTTGCCTCGCCGGCGGGACTAGGGATGGGACACTACTGCCGCGGAGATCGCTCGCTCGCTTCTGTTTTCTCTTCTCTTTCTCGCCTGCTGCAGCTACAGAGAGGCCGAGCCCGAGAAGGAGAAGAGAGAACAGAAGCGAGCGAACGCTTGCCGCGGCGGTAGTGTTCCATCCAGAGCCGGAGCTAGCTCTCTGCGCTCACTCTCTTTCGTCCCGGCCGCTTCAGCTTCAGCTCCACTCAGAGAGGCGGCTCTGATTACACCCGTTATCGTTCCCTCTCTCTCCTTCTGACTCTCTGAAGCTGCAGCGGCCGGGAACTGACCTCTGGACTGCGCGTCACATTGCTGGCCTCTGCACTGTGCATTGTTACTGATCTTTATACTCTGCGTCACACCGCTGACCTGGCGGAGTTAAGTCCGGGGCAGGGTAGGGGTTAGGTGGGGCAACTGGTGGCGAGTAACTTTTCAGGCCTGGCTAGTAGCTTAGGACTTGAAATTTTGAGCCCTGAGCGTGCGTGCGTGTGTATATATATATATATACACACACACACACACACACATAATTATATAAAACCTTTTAATTGAAACCTGCAGCAGCACATTTGAGATCCAAGGTTCAGTCTCCGGACCTGCCAAGCAGGATCAGGCTGGCCTCCAAGCCCCCTCCCTCCCCCTGCTGGAACCTTGCAGCCATTTATCTCTGTTGACAGTAAATCATTATCCGTTTTATACTGATAAGGAAAAAGGGTTATTTTCCTGTGAAGCTCAAACAGATGCTTGTTTTAGGACTTTCTGCTGTGATTTTCCGTGACAAGGCAAATATATGAGTGCAACACTTGCAAATGTACATATTGTTTATATACATAGCGGGGGTAATTGATGCCAAAATACTTTTTTTTTTCTTTCACAGGTCTTTTATATTAAACCGAGAGATATATACATTATGTACATAGTGAGATATACACAGTCAATGTGCTAAGTAGTTCACTGTTTCAACTAGAGCTGCAGCTAACGATTATTTTCAAAATCGATTAGTTAGCCAATTATTAAGTTCGATTAATCGGATAAAAAAATAAAATACATTTTAAAAAATGGCTCCAGTGATGGGACTTCTAGTTTGTATTGAGATTGTAGTCCATCACAGGAGCAAGCTTGGAGCAGTGGAAGTAAAAAAATAAAAAAAAAGTGTGGTGTACAATATAGTGAAATGAAAAGTGTAAAATTATACAGCAATGAATGCAGAATACCACCAGCTAGAGGAGTACAACAAATCCCAGCAATAGTACGTTATAGCTGGCGGTATTAGATCGTGGATTTGGGCGGGCGGTGAGGCGCGGAGGAGGTGCTGGAGCGTGGATGCGGGCAGGTCTGGCAGCGGCGAGCGTGAGGTGGGGAGGTGTGGCGCGCAGTGTGTGTTGAGCCGTGAACAGGGCCAACCGATCAGAAGCCGATTAATCGATTATTGAAAAAGTTGACAACTTTTTTAATAATCGATTATAATTGATTGTCGATTAGTTGTTGCAGCCCTAGTTTCAACCGGATATTGCTGTACTTTGGCAAAACTATGGGGTGCCATGCTCCCAAGCAGTGCCCCCCCATGATGAAAGATCCTGTGCCCCACAGGCTGCACATATCCAAAGGAACAGACCATCCACTATCCACAGAAAATCCAAATGCTGGTAACTTTGGACAACATGAACAGAGTGACCACCTGGGACCTCCCTTCTTTGATGCATTTCAGCCACAAGACTGCACTTAAACATAGTTACTGTAACAGTCCACCCCACTCTCTTTTGTCTGTAATCTGCTGATCCTGGAACACAGCTGCTGGTGATGGTGGAACATCCTTCTGCCTCGTACACTCAGAAATCCCGGTGATAAAAAAAATGTCACTAGTAAATGGTCCTTGCAGCTCCTTTTATGGATCTGTGTGTGCTTATTCTGCAGGGGATTACTCGGAGTTGACATTACTTTTGAATAGACTGGAGGGAGATGGGACAGAAGGACAAAGACAATAAAAAAACATTGGCAGAGGTTTTAACCTTTCCCCGCTCCACTAAATTGTAAGGGCAACTAAACTAATTAAGGGGGTGGAGGACCAAAGCTATGAGACAAGGTTACTAAATCTAAATATGTTCACGCTGGAAGTGAGGAGATTAAGAGGGGACATGATTTTGATTTACAAGATGTTCAATGCAATAAACTTTTTACTATAAACTCCATATCAAAACTGGTGGAGAAAAGATTTATCCACAAGGGGTGTAAGGGCTTCTTCTCAGTTAGAGCTTCTTTTGTGTTTGGTATCTTCATTCACGTTGTTTGGTTGGCCCAGAATGACTTGACTCCCGCACAAGGAAATGAATTCATCTCGACATCAAAGCAAGGCGAGATTGCACACTGAGCAGGTCAGTGTACAATCTTCAGAGACTTGCTAGCAGGAAGGTAAGAAGAGACATTTTTTTAGAGACATGATTCATTCAACTTTCACACATTTTCTAATTGGAATCATTGGAAAATGTGTAAATCCTGGGTGAAATTTGCGTGTATCTAATATGAAAGCATTTATAAACTCTTGTGTTTTCCTAACTTGGAATAAACATGAAGATCGGATTGCTTTGACTTTAATCCACATTTACGTGCTGCATGTTTGTTCCAGGTCAGTGACTTAGAGTTTATCAATGTTGGCTGATCAGCTAGCATTTCCAGAAGGAGTTCAGAAGTGGCAGCCTCATATTTCTCCCGGTGCTCACTCAAATGTTACCATGTTGGATCTGCCATCTAAAGGCAGTCATATGAACCAAGCAGCATCTGCAGTCTAAAAGAGTTATTCAGGGACCCCAAAAACTAGGGCCACTTTATTATGACAATATTGACTATCTAGGAAGTCAATGCTTTCCCCAACATTCTCCCATGCCTCATTATTGGTCAGTAAGGTCATCCATCATACTGAATAGCCAATAGCAAAGAGGTAGGGCAAAGCATTCACCTTCTAGAATCAGTATTTGCATTACAGAGTTCTCTCTGTGTTGGTACTCCTGGGGTGCTCATGTAGAATGCTGAAACTACTAACAATCTCCTGGGGTGCTCATGTAGAATGCTGAAACTAATAACAATCTCCTGGGGTGCTCGTGTAAAATGCTGAAACTACTAACAATCCCCTGGGGTGCTCGTGTAAAATGCTGAAACTACTAACAATCTCCTGGGGTGCTCGTGTAGAATGCTGAAACCACTAACAATCTCCTGGGGTGCTCGTGTAGAATGCTGAAACCACTAACAATCTCCTGGGGTGCTCGTGTAGAATGCTGAAACCACTAACAATCTCCTGGGGTGCTCGTGTAGAATGCTGAAACCACTAACAATCTCCTGGGGTGCTCGTGTAGAATGCTGAAACCACTAACAATCTCCTGGGGTGCTCGTGTAGAATGCTGAAACCACTAACAATCTCCTGGGGTGCTCGTGTAGAATGCTGAAACCACTAACAATCTCCTGGGGTGCTCGTGTAGAATGCTGAAACCACTAACAATCTCCTGGGGTGCTCGTGTAGAATGCTGAAACCACTAACAATCTCCTGGGGTGCTCGTGTAGAATGCTGAAACTACTATCACCTGGGGTGCTCATGTAGAATGCTGAAACTACTAACAATCCCCTGGGGTGCTGCTCATGTAGAATGCTGGAACTACTAACAATCTCCTGGGGTGCTCGTGTAGAATGCTGAAACTAATAAAAATCTCCTGGGGTGCTCGTGTAGAATGCTGAAAGCACTAGCAGTCATCTGACATTGCCTGTTCTTTTGCATGGCTCATGTGATTTACTGACAGGTTTGCTTTAAACTAGAGATTTAGCTTTAAAAAATGTGTGTGTGCTCGCGGCTCCTGAGCAATTTCAGTCACAGGTGATGCAATGTACTATATGTTTGTACTAGTAAATACCAGGCTGTGCAAAACTACATACTGTCGTCATTCTTTATAAAAAAAGAACAATGTGCCAAACAGACTTCAACAGATTTGCCTCCTCTATCCAGGACAAGTGTGTTATTGCTGCTGTCTTCATCTGTTCAGCCCATCAAAGCTTCTGTTTTAGAATTTTTGTTCTTTTTCTCTTCCTTTGTTACACAACAGTGAACCGTTGGCCTTCATAGAAGACTCATTGACCTGCTCCATAACCTTTCCATTTCCCACAGCCAAACCACGCCTCCTAGAAATGTCACCAGCCTTAGTGATATAAACTAAGCCTAAGAGAGGGAACCAAACTATCTGCTTCTAAGGTGAAAGAGGTGAAAGGATTACTGGGGACAATAGAAAAGTCAAACTCAGGGTGACAAAACGTGAAGGACACAGTACCGGTTCTCCATGAAAACTGTACCTGGGATCTCGTCTCTCTCTTTCCGTAATCCGCGCTTTCTTAGTGTCCTAGGAGGTGGAAGTGGCTCTGTTCTCCACCAGCGGACAAAGACCAGAAATGATCCCACCCAGGAAGAACTGAAAAATGCCCCCAGCCAACAGGAGGGCATCAAGGACCAAGGTGGCATTTCCTCAATGGTAGACCGATCCCTGGTGCGAAGAGACATTCGCGCTTTTCTGAGAGAATGCGGTGGCACACCTAGCGAAGCCCGTCATTGGCTAGCACAGTTCCAGGAGATGCACTCAACGTATCAGAAGGTCTTTGCGGTTGTGGAGGTGAGTGACATTAATGGTTGTATTAGCTCAGGACTTTACTGCACATCTTTTGATACCAAAATATTGCCTACAAGGAAGGTTTATAAAAAAAATGGGCAACCTAGGATATTATGGAATAGGCTCACTGTTTTCAGAGAAGCCAATTAAGGGTAGACAAACACGGCCTGGTCTTTTACAAGCAAGAGCCTACTGGCATAGAGTCAGTTTTGCCCAACCTGTCCATAAATAAAACAGTGTCGGGCCCAACCTGTCCATAAATAAAACCGTGTAGGGCCCAACCTATCCATGAATAAAACAGTGTCGGGGTGTCTGCTAAATGCTTCCTTCTCCATAGATGAGCACATTTGGGTTTCCCCAATTAGAACGTGTATGTTTGCAAAAAGATTTTGTCAACTTGTGACTCCACAAACTAACATCTGGTATCTTTAGGTAGTTTTAAGTTCAGATTTTAAGAGAAGATCTGAGAGATAAAATTAAACAGAAATACAGTCGTAGTCTAGAGACTTACTCCTTTAACAGCAGAAAAGAGTGTAAGAGCTCTCCCCCTTCTATAGATTCGCGTCCTTGTCCTTTGGGTCTTTAACCTCTCCCATACTGGAGTACGACTCTATATCTGAATGCCCAGTCATGTCACTGAACTTTCACAACAGTCTTCATATACAATGTGCAAGTGGAAATTAAAAGGATTCCTGGCAGATAAAGCTAGTGCTTTGCATATATCCATGTGAGTAATGGTTAGGAATATGAGAAGTGTAAAGGATGTCCACAGGGTGCCTAACAGATGCTATCAATGAAATTGTAAGCCCAGCTAAAACTTATGGGGTACAGTGGGGGAGGGATAGAACTGATGAGTTTCTACTGCAATCCAGGCTTCATTATATATATTTCACATCGGCTAAAACCATTGTCAATGGGATTGCAAGTGAGGAAAAATCTGCAACAGGGATCTGGTGGAACCGTTGTCACCCTCACATACACTTTAAACTAAGACTCACTGACGCTGAGTGGCCCCCATTGGGCTAAACAGGAGTGCTTGTCCTGTTGGAGCATTCCTGTTCATTGAAGAAACTGGCCCAAGGGGTGTTGAATTTCTGTTTCCAGCTCAAGTAGACTCTGTGGCTGCTTTGAAACTCCAGGCATGTCAAACATTGCTTAGACTCAGCAGTTTTGCCTGCTTGTGCATGAGGAGAGCATATGCAGTGAAATATGTCCTTGTACTATAGCAGTACAGACCACAGTTTCATCAGAGAGAAAATTCCATTATACCTGGAAATCCAAATGCCAGACTGCTGCATCAGCTAAGCAAATGAATGTACTAAGCAAATAAGCCTACACATTGGACAATGAACTATATCCTAGATTGCCGCTTGTATGTTCTTACTGATTTCATGGACTTCTAGGATGGTTTTAAAATTTGGCTTTAAAGTGTTCATACTCAACATTATACAGATTGACTATAAGTTGTTATACTGAAAATTGTACTGCTCAACGTTATATTGATCAGTTGTAGGTTCTTCTACTGAACGTTATACTGATTGGCTGTAGGTTCTTCTACTGAACGTTATACTGATCAGTTGTAGGTTCTTCTACTGAACGTTATACTGATCAGTTGTATGTTCTTCTACTGAACGTTAGTTATACTGATCAGTTGTAGGTTCTTCTACTGAACGTTATACTGATCAGCTGGAGGTTCTTCTACTGAACGTTATACTGATCAGTTGGAGGTTCTTCTACTGATCGTTATATTGATCAGTTGTAGGTTCTTCTACTGAACGTTATACTGATCAGTTGGAGGTTCTTCTACTGATCGTTATATTGATCAGTTGTAGGTTCTTCTACTGAACGTTATACTGATCAGTTGGAGGGGCTCATACTGAACGTTAACTGATCAGTTGGAGGTTCTTCTACTGAACGTTTTACTGATCGGCTGTAGGTTCTTCTACTGAACATTATACTGATCAGTTGGAGGGGCTCATGGTGAACGTTATACTGATCAGTTGGAGGTTCTTCTACTGAATGTTATACTGATCAGTTGGCGGTTCTTCTACTGAACGTTATACTGATCAGTTGGAGGGGCTCATGGTGAACGTTATACTGATCAGTTTGAGGTTCTTCTACTGAACATTATACTGATCAGTTGGAGGTGCTCATAGTGAACGTTATACTGATCAGTTGGAGGTTCTTCTACTGAATGTTATACTGATCAGTTGGAGGTTCTTCTACTGAATGTTATACTGATCAGTTGGAGGTTCTTCTACTGAACGTTATACTGATCAGCTGGAGGTTCTTCTACTGAACGTTATACTGATCAGTTGGAGGTTCTTCTACTGAATGTTACACTGATCAGTTGTAGGTTCTTCTACTGAACGTTATACTGATCAGCTGGAGGTTCTTCTACTGAACGTTATACTGATCAGTTGGAGGTTCTTCTACTGATCGTTATATTGATCATTTGTAGGTTCTTCTACTGAACGTTATACTGATCAGTTGGAGGGGCTCATACTGAACGTTATACTGATCAGTTGGAGGTTCTTCTACTGAACGTTATACTGATCAGTTGGAGGTTCTTCTACTGAACGTTATACTGATCAGTTGGAGGTTCTTCTACTGAACATTATACTGATCAGTTGGAGGTGCTCATACTGAACGTTAAATTGATCAGCTATAAGCGCTCATGCTCCATGTGTGCAGGATTTGATGCTGAGTGTTTCCGTGTACAGTCCTAACATGAACTGGCCATTTATTTCCACCTTGTCTTTTTTGCAGGTGGATGAGAATGTTTTCAGCTGCAAGAGAACCCTGAACAGTGTGGCCTTTGCACTTGCCTTCCTGCAGCGAATGGACATGAAGCCACTGGTAGTGATGGGTCTGCCCAGCACATACTGTTCCCGTCCTTCAGCCCATGATGCAAAGTCCCTTTTGGTGCACAACTGCCAAACTCTAGTGGATGCTGTTCATGCCAACTCGGGTACAGCTTTACCCTTCTTCAATGGAGGATCTGTGCTGGCAGCTCGTGAACAGGATGACTGGTATGTTCTAGTGCCTTCTGTAACACTGGTTTAGTACTGACTCTGAAGTTCTAACTCTGATGTACAGCTTCTACCGAGGGTCACAGCTAGTGAGTCTTCAATTCTGTTCTATCATAGCATTCTGTGAGCAGAACATTACTCTAACACTTAACCTAAAGCAAACCCATGCAGGGCAAAGAAATGGGCTCCAATGTAAAGCCAGGCTGGATAACAGAACAGTGAGAGGGGCCAAGGGAAGGTAACTATATGCTGATAGGAAGTATAAACCTGTTGCTTTGCCCTAAGTGGTTAAGCACTCTACAATGTGATGAAAACCTGCCCATGCCCTGCATTGAATGGGCATAGTAGTAACATGTTAAACATAATATATGATTAATACATGGATACTGATAAAGATTCACTGAGCACAACTGGTTATACTGCCATTGTGGACATTCTTAGTTTGGATTGGCAGCTCTGAGTCCAGGCCTGGTGATCATGCCAGCTGCATTGTCTGGATACCATAAATGAAAGAAGTGTTGAGTATCTGATTGCCTTCGAGTATTTGAAAGGAATTGTTTCCCTGTTGCAGCTGACCTATAAAAATCCGTAGTAGAGGACCAATATGACCAGGTCTGGTGTCTGTGTTGAGTCCATGATTAGATACTGTATATTTTTGCCCTTTTCACAGTAGTTATGGATCAGTTTTATCGGTGGACACTGAGCTTCTTACTTGGTGCCTCAACTCTGCTAACATTCCCATCATATGTCCCATCGGTGAGACACCATCTGGACGGTCAGTACTACTGGACTCTATAGACGTGACCAGCAGTATCTCCCGGGCACTGAACCCTCTTAAAATCATCTTCCTCAATACAGCTGGAGGACTGAAGGACCTGAGTGAGAATGTAAGTTGCTTTAAATGTCATCCTTGTTTTAATTGAAAGACTTTCCCATAACCCATATAATTCTAAAGCCTTGTACATGCAGGTAGTGGGACACGTCAATCTCCCAGCAGACCTGGAACTGATGAGGAATGCGGTGTGGATGAGTGAGAGGCAGCGCCAACAAGTGACTGTCATTGTGGACCTCCTGAACCGCCTGCCCCCTTCTTGCTCTGCTGTGATCACCTCTGCCCGCACCCTCCTGAGCGAGCTCTTCAGCAATAAAGGTGAGATGACTGGCAAGGTTTGGTGGGAAACAAACCTTTCCTGAGCAAAGAGACTGCTGTTTACAACTTCTCATTTGGATAAAGCAACCTTTTAAGTTTTGGATAGCGTAGGGAATTCGTTAAATCTCCTGCCAAGATTTGTTTTGTCTGTGTCCCATTGGGGAGATGTTCCTTCACTTAGCATCCTGGAGACACAACAGGAAGGAGGGGGGAAGTCACTCTAATGTTAGAGTAAACCCCCAACTCACCTCGCCAGATGTCTCCATTCCCCTCTACTCCTGTTTAGGTGACACTCGTACAGTTTTGGATTTGCCCTCACTTGTTATCCTGTTCATAAAGATGAGTTAAAGTGATCAGTTGGATGGTGGATCTTTTTTCTTTAGTTTTGCATTTGCCCTTGTCTTCTAACATAAATGCGGCCTATTTTTCATGAATTGAGATTGATACCTGGCCATTTTTCATAGGAAATCTCACTTCAGAGAACACTGCCCGTCTATAAAAGCTGCTGTGAGCATATATACATATTTGGACAACTGTGCTGGAAGGAAGGAGAACGTTAAGTGGACCAGTTGCCTATCCCAGCATGGGTAAAACACTTCACTGTAACCTCCCAACTACTGAGCTTGGTGAAAGGGATGAGGATGACAGTTCTAGGTTTCTGAAGGGGTCCCCTAAAAATTATAAACTTCCAGGTCATTTAGTCCAGCCCGGTAATCAATGATTGAATTTTGGCTTGGTTGGGTTGTGGGAACAGTAATGCCTCCTGGTTTCATATACAAGCTCCATGGGTTGACTTCTTTTGCTTTTCACAGGGTCTGGCACACTCTTCAAAAATGCAGAGCGAATGATGAGTTTTGAATCCCTTGAAGATATCGATACCGAGCGCCTGATCTCCCTGCTGAACAGATCCTTCCAGAAGAAGCTGAGGGATAATTATATCAGTACTGTGGCCAAGAAACTGCACTCTGTCTACTTGTCTGAAGAGTAAGTGCATGCTGGCATAGATAGTCCTTGTACATGCAGACTTCATTTTGTATAAAATCAGTGTGTACAGCAAGACCTATGGTGGTGAAAGTCACCCTCAGCTGTTGTCACTCTAAACACTCTGCTTGCAGGCTTAACTCAAGCAAAGGACAGAATTTCCATCAACATATCCAAGCTCAAGCAGAAATTTGCATTAGGGCTTATTCACACAAGTTGTGCTGGGGTTGCAGTGAAAGTCTTTTCCACCGCAGTCCCGATGAAAAGGCAAACGGCTTTCTTTACAATCAGCCCAGTTCAGTGATGGGGGTGCACTGAAAAAAAAGTACGCCATGCAGTACAACCACATTGCACCACCGTGTGGCTGTTAGAACTGAACGAAATGTCACGTGACATTTCCTTAAAGCTCCAAAAAGAGGAAACGGTATGACTTGCCAGGATCAGTGCATGAGCACCATGCCTCTGGCTGCACACCAGTGGCCGTGTCTACAAACTGAGGCTTGTGTTTAGATTAATTTAAAAAACTAATTCTTGCAGTGGGACTATCCCTGCACTGCAAGGGTTATGTGTTTGTTTTGGGCTAGGGGAGCAAATAGAATATACTCACTTGATCATCGGTCCCATCTCGCTGCTAGACGTATCCGGTGTGAACTAGCCCCATTCCCACCCATTCTTTTTTCGATGCGTATACATTTGAAAAACAGATCGGAAAGCAATCAGAAGGTATAATTGCAAGTCAATAGACCCTCCGTTGACTTGCGATTTCCATCTGATTTTTGGTGTGAACTGGCCCTATAGGTTTTGTTTTGCTCTCAGCTGCCTAGAAAAATGTCTGTTGGCAGCAGGTAGGATGACTTCAGGGCTGCCAAATAGACTGACACTTGTGCTCTGAGTAGCAGAGAATGCAAGCAATCCTTAAGGCCCCATTCATACCCAAGCGGGAGCCGGGCACGTTAGAGGCATTCGTATGTGCAACTTGGAGTACAGAAGCAGAATTGTTTCAGGTGTGAACAGCCTATTAGGAATATTGGGATTTTACATATTGATCGTTGTTGCATTAGTATTCCAATTTTATGAGAAGATCCAGTAGGAGTCAATAAAAATGAATGTGGGAGAGGAGTGTAACTGGTTAATTACCTCCATGGTGTCCTTCACAAGATACAGAGTAACCTTATATGAATGCACTAAAAGGTTTTATGGTATCGGGAAAGAACTCCCACCTTGAAGGAGTTGTTCTCTAGGATCCATTCAGTTATGGAAGCTGAAGAAATGACTTGTGCTTTCACAGAGAAGAACTATAAATGTTTTTACATTAAGAACTACAAGAACCTGTGACCTCTTCTTCTCTCTTCCTTCCAATTATAAAAGGTCTCTTTTTAAATCCTCCTCCAGGTACAATGCAGCTGCCATAATTACCACCGAGCCAGTGCTGGGAGGGACTCCTTACCTGGACAAGTTTGTGGTCAGCTCTGGCCGGCAGGGCCAAGGTTCTGGGCAGATGCTATGGGAGTGCATCAGACAAGACCTGCAGACCCTCTTCTGGAGATCACGAGCTACCAATCCCATCAACTCCTGGTGAGTAGAAAATGTCAGTCCACAGTGGCCATAGGTGGCATAATTTTTTCACACAAGGCAACCAATTGAGCATCCTCTGCAATAACAATTATCGGATTGAGGGCTTGGTCTGCCCAAAAGTTCTAGAGGAGTCTGTCACCCTCCAGGCATTATGATTTTGGCACTACAGTGGCAAGATGTTAAAGCCATGCAGTACATCTCTGGAATTCATGCACATATTCCAAAGTTTTATCCCTTCATAGTCCCTGCAGGTACAGGAAAATTTTGATGGATCTTCTAGAAACGCACTCAGGTCTTAAGCCCTGTTGTGGCCTGACAACACACAGCATTTTGGTGGACTAAGTGCTTCCAGCCATGCCCAGTTGTTTTCTGCTAAACTGAACCGATCCCACTCTCAGACCTCTACAATATATATCATAGTCTAAGATCAGAACTGGGAGTGCTTTATGATAACACAGGAAGTGCACAGAGGACAGCTCCAAGTTTCTGACATGGCCAATAGTTAGGCAACCTCAGCCCTCCAGCTGGGGCATTGCAATACCCAAACAGCCACTGTAGTTTTAGCACAGCTGGAGTGCCAATGTTACCTACCCCTGGCCTAACCCGATCTCCTGGCATCCCAGAGAGAAATAAGAAACCAGTGATTTAAAACAGTGAGTGTATTTTAAAGAGAACCTGTCCTGAGACTGCTATTGATAACCCATGGCTTTAAAAGCCCAGCTGCAGTTTTATATTTCAGTCAGGCTGCATACAAAGTCAAGTATTCTGTTATACCTTCATAGTGGTCCAGCCCATGTAAATGTTATCTTCCCCAGCAGCATGGAATATATCAGGACTGTTGCTCTCTATATGAGAGCATCAGTTTATCTTTAGCAGCTCCACAAGTCTGTTTCCCAATGCTCCATCCAACCACATTGCTCAGGCAGTGTGAGCTTTGCCGATTGGGTCACAGTATTTGTGATTGCAGGGGGCTTGTCAGACCTCTAGAGACCTACTCTGAGGTTTTATGCCAGGTTGGTAGAAAGTACAAAAGCCACTGAGGCACCTCGCCAACTCAATACCTCCGGAGGAGAGATCAGCAATGGTTGCCTCCGCACTGTACATTCTGATAGAGAAACAAGTGGTTGTCTCTGAGAATGTACACAGGTAGTCTACATGCCAGGTAGTCTAAATCACCCAAAGAGAAGGTTCCATTTTTTTTTGTTCTTCAGCAGCAATCCAGATTAGGCCAACTGGGCTGCTGCTGAGCTCTGTGCATTCTCACACACTAGACTATCCAATTTCAAGTCATTACAGTCCTTCGTAAGCCCTGATAAAGGGGTATTTGTGTGAGCCCCCAAAATACACAGAGGAATATTTCTAGACATGTGGTGGACTCTTGAGTATGGCTTTTCCATTTAGGAATTGAAATTACAATACGGCTTCTGTGAGACTGCCATCTGTGTATTTATAGGGGACCTTTTGCCTTTGTTCATAAGGTAATGATGGAAAATCTATGCACAGGGGTCACAGCCAATAACCGGATGGGGTTTTTAAAACTTCCATACTCAAGCCAAATGTACAAAAAGTTATGGCTGAAGTTCATGTTGCACCATATTCCCTTACTGGGCCAGGGTTTTGCTTACTTTGCTGTAACTGCTACAGGGGCCGGCTCCACAGGCATCATCCTTATCCTTGCTTCAGCACCGAGTTACCGGAAAATGTATTTCTGGTCACATTTTTCCAGATTGGTAGCTCACTAGCCTCTGAAGCTGGGATGAGGATGATGGAATTGAGGCTGTGCCTTTTAAACACAAGCCAATGATGTCACCTTTCATTTGGTTCTGACAGGTACAATTTACTAGGTCGCAGAAATCACCAAACTAGACCCACTTTTAACCAAGACCTAAAACATGTGGGGTGCCTATTTAAACCCCACTCACCAATTTGGTAATCTGAGGACTCCAAAAGTGTATTTTGGCAGCAATTTTGAGTTCCAAAGCCGCAGGCTCTGCTCCCCCAATCAGATTAATCTTCTGCAAGGTAACTCTTCATATAGAATAGCCTATTACTCACAGCCATTTCCTCCGACAGGTACTTCAAGAACAGTGATGGAAGCTTCTCCAACAAGCAGTGGATATTCTTCTGGCTGGGCCTCGCTGATATCAGGGATTCATATGAACTGGTGAACCATGCAAAGAGTCTGCCCGACTCCTTCTGTAAAAGCTCCGTCTCCTGACTTCCTTCTCCCCCTGCTGGACAATATTCTATTCTACAAAGCCACCATTGCCCTACCAAACATTGCAGGCAGATGACAATTTCAGATGACCCTACTGGAACATGGGTCTAATCCTGACCAGAAATCAAAGAACGTCAAGGAGAAGCAGTCCAAACTTGTAAGTAAAAGTCTGAATATTCAGTCATGAATTAGAATTGTGTAAGGAAGGTTTAGAACTGCTGCTTTGTTTCCATTGCCTTTACCTGACTCTGCACCTTAACGATGAACTCCCGGCCTCATCATTTGCCTTTACCTGACTCTGCACCATCATCTGAATACGTATAGAAGGGTTAGTAGCTAGTTACCACCGTGTTCTGTATCATTTCAGGCCAATAATGCTTAGAGCTTTAGAACTGAGCTTCTAAATATTCTGGATATTACAGTTCCTGCTGTACTTCCAACCAGCACTGGGGTCATGTCTCTGCCCCATGTACTTATGGCCCTTCACATAACTGTAGCATCACCACAGGCTTCGTGGAGTGAATGGCTGTGTGTAGTCAGAGGGTGAGACAACACCAGCACTGCTGGGGAAGAAGTACAGTGAGAGCTAATCAGATAAAAGAAAATCTGAATAGACAAACCGCAGCGGTAACTAGATATTAATCTAATCTATCTAGGGGCTCATGCACATGGGCATATTTAGAAGCAAATACAGGCGGCATGAGACATATTTTGCATATAGCCTATAAAACACTCATATTTGCTCACCCAGGAGCTGTAACTGCTGCATCTTTCTTGCCAGAATATAGGAACAAAAACCCTGGACCCGGATGTAATCCTATATGTTGGTACCAGCATTTACACATGCACAGTGGTAAGTTTCCTAAGATGGATGTTTTGCATTCAGAAACACACCCCCATGCAAATGCCAGTACCGGTGTTTCTGGGCATACACCCAGGTCCAGTGTTTTCTGTCCATATATTCCTAGAGGCAGAAAAAAAAAACCCGCAGCAGCTGAGGCTCCTGGGCGAGCAAACACAAGTGTCATTTACACGTTATGCAAATACGCCCATGTGCATAAAAGCCCCAAGCCTCATTTACACAGCCACTGACATTATATTATAGTTATAGGCCATAGCGACACACATAGAAATGCATGGAAGGATTTTAAACAGTATAATCCACAGTAAACATTTCCTTTCTTTTAGATAAATAGAAATCCGTGCATCCAGGAGCAGATTAGATACTCTGAATGCATCGGAATGAGAGTTTGGAGAAAGAGTTCTATATGGAACAAATACATTCAAATAAACTGTAAACATATGTACATTATAATGAAAAAATACTTTGCAGATCAATTTCTCCTGCGTCTGTTCTATTTAAATGCAGAATGAATATATATATATACATACATACATACATACATATATATATATATATATATATATATAATCAAGTGGCATTGCAATGGAATTAGGGTACTGCTTGTTCCATTGCGGGCGTACAAACTGTGGATGGGAGGTGCGTTTAGGGGGAACCAAATAAAATGGCAACCCAGCACACCTCCCACACCAGAATGCACGGTAGGTGTGATTATGTGGTACAATGCATTAATCGCATGGGACTGTGTGATTAACACACTGTACTAGTGTGAACGAGTCCTCAAAAACACTGAAACACTCAGAAACAATCTGTGGAACTGTGGCAGAGCTCCATCCATATGTGTATTGCATGTACAGCTCCCTTGCGTGCCCTGTAGAGGTGCAGAATGTGATGCCACTCCGGTCCAGGCACCTCTATAGGACATAAGAGGGAGCTGTAAGCAATACGGGTATGGATGGAGCTCCCTCGTGGCCATAGCCCATCCCTACTCAAGCTGACACTCTGCACCGGGCAGCATATTTTGAATGGCTGCTCAGTGTGAGAAGTGACAGTGCTGCGCTAGGGGGAGGCTGAGGAGCCTCTCACCTAAAAAAGTGGAAGGCATGCTGCGACCCACTGAACACGGGGTCACGACCCACCAGTTGAGAGCCAAGACTTTAAAGTATGTAAATGATGGTGCCCGGAGTCCAGCTGAAACTTGCTGCCGTCATTTCTATGGCCCCTGTTCACACCTATGTTGCGTCAAGTTTCCCCTTAAAGTCTATGGGACCAAAAGGTAGCTCATGTACTATTTCCAGCGACAGACGTTTTTCTGCTCGTGATGCACTTAGCTTTGAGTGACAAAATGCCTAGGTGTGAACGGGGACCTAGAGCTGCAGCTCCAGAAGCTTGGAGAGGACATTAATTCAGGTATACACACTTCTATTTTCTTCATTCAACCTTACATGCGTGGCTGGGGGAAGCTCCTGCTGTTTCCTTTGTATTCTGATAATGGCCGCTCTCACAATACCCGAGCAGAGCTGGCAGCTCACTGGCTGAAAGCAGCACCCACGCATCGAATGTCAGCCGAAATTCATAGAGTGTATACCCAGCTTAAGGTAACAGCCAGGATAGTAACTGTCACACCGCAACCACAACGCGCTCCAGCAGAAAATAATTATTGTGGTGACTTTGCGCTTTAATAAAAATAAAAAAAATTTTCCTGACATAATGATAGTGGAATGAAAAGACCCAACACAAGCCAGGCCGAAGAGTCAGACAGGAAAGGTAAATAAAGCAGCAGTTGTAACCCTTCTGTACACAAGACTACTACACCCGTCACATTCTTCTCACATTACTGCTTGTGTTCTATTCAAAATAAAACGCTGGATTCTGTCATAAAATCTGTTTGGAGTTTTGTTTCAGGTTTTATATCGGGGGTGAGTAACTACAAGTCCCATGAGGCATTGCAAGACTCGGAGACAGAGGCAGATGCATAATGGGATTTGTAGTTTCACCACAGCTGCAGGGCCAGAGTTTGCCTACCTCTGTTTTAGAAACATTTATATGGGGTACACCAAATTTTATCTACAGCCAAAACATTTATTGTCTAGTCTTGGACAGAGCAAGGAATGGTTAGTACTAGGGATGCACCAATACCGTTTTTTTGGTATCGAGTACCGATATTTTTTTGGGGTACTTGCCGATAGTGAAAGTCCCATTATGGAAGCCCTGCGGCGTGTAATGACTCGCCACCAGGCTTCCTGATGAGCCGGGAAGTCGGCTCCATGTTCCCTCGTCACCAGGAAGCCGTGCGGTGTGTAATGACTCGCCACCAGGCTTCCTGATGAGCCGGGAAGTCGGCTCCATGTTCCCTCGTCACCAGGAAGCCGTGCGGTGTGTAATGACTCGCCACCAGGCTTCCTGATGAGCCGGGAAGTCGGCTCCATGCTCCCTCGTCACCAGGAAGCCGTGCGGCGTGTAATGACTCGCCACCAGGCTTCCTGATGAGCCGGGAAGTCGGCTCCATGGTCCCTCGCCAATTAGGAAGCCGGGCGACGTGTAAGTACTCGCCACCTGGCTTCCTGGTACCGGAAGTTCTGGTATCCGGAGCATTTGGGCGGGTACAAGTACTCGCCCAAATGCTCAGTCCCTAGTTAGAACCATTGCGGCTACAGTCAGCTGACATTTTTTGCACAAAACTGAAGAATCAACTTGTGTCCAGCAGGGTAGTGCCAGCAGGGGCCACTCAGGGATCAGATTTCAGCCAGTTTGATTAGTGTATGGCCAGGTTAAGTGTACAAACCCCCCCCCTCTCCCCTGCCCTCACAGGAGCCTTGCCATACGGTATAAAGAGAACCTGTGAGAACAGAAGGATGCAGAAAGGAAAGTCAGAATTCCCAACCTGCAGATTTTCTAAAGCTGGCCCATACACAGTTATTTTTTTCTTCCTTCCACCTGCAGCCTGATCCCAAAAAAATATAACAGATTCCTCTGTCCGCACTAAACCAGCATGGACAGACGAGTCTTCCTCTGTGTCCTTTGTATTCAGACACGGCGCTGTCAGGATAACCGAACAGTGACGGGAGCTGACTGGCTGCCATCACTGTTGGTCTGAAAATTTTCCATGTGGCTCCTTCGATTTTCTGATTGAAGGGTGCCAACAGGGCCACACACTGAACAAATTTTGGCCGGCCAATCGTGAACCAGACAAAATGTGCACATTATGCAGTCAGCTTGAGTAAGAAGAAACTTGTACCTTAGAAACAAGCCGGCAGCGATGGCATCCATACATCCTGACAGGTTCCTATAAACAGCGAATGTTGTCCCAGCTTTGTTCCTGCCAATATAAATGGGGACAGCCATTCATATACTATATACAGGGTCATTATATCCTGAGAGAGGGTTCACACGTTATAAAACAGAGGAGGTAGCTGACATACTATAGGCAACCATTCCCTTAATACCAGTATATGAAATCCTCATAGAGTGGACAGATGCACACAGTATCACTCTGTGGTCCCAAGTTCCTGAGAAAAGTATGAAGATGATCATAAACGTTTCATTTTTTCTCATTCAGACAAGAGCTCACATCCCCCTTCCAAGTGTGACAATGAAGCGGTCCAGGTGAACTCATTTCATAAAACATGTCGGTATTGGTGCATCCCTAGTACTAACCATTCCTTGCTCTGTCCAAGACTAGACTCAGTGCCAACCGCCATTAAAGCCTGGAGCAGTTTGATTCGCCCCCCGGTACGGTACGCCAATAAACACTGATTGGAGCACTGTGCACGAGGAGTGTCAGAGTGCTGCTCTGTGTGTGATGACATAGGCAGCTTTTACAGCTGTACACACAAAGTGCCGTATGCTTTACTCTACATGTACCGTGACCGCAGAACAAGCTAAAAAATAAAAAACATGACGCATTAAAGAACTCTAGATAAAAATTGTATGAATGCTTGCAGTGGGGCTACCCCTGTACGGCAAGGGTGAGGTGCTGGTTTTTGTCTAGGGTCAAAAATAAAAAGTTACACTCACCTGAACCTCCGAGCAGGTCGGCTTAGACCAGTCCCTGGAGCCTCTCTTCTCCTGAAGCGGTCTACTGTCCTGCGAGTCATCACGCTCTATACACAGTGTATAGAACACCGAGGGACATAGCACCGCTGCAGCTGAGGAGGCGACAGGCTGGAG